AGTTAAAAAAATTGTGAATTTACAGTAAAAAGTACCTTGCATTTATATTATAGTGCTTCCACGGGAAACTGGAGATTAGTTCATCTCTAGAACACCTTCTGAGGAAGTAGAAGCATATACATTTTTCATCCAATTCATTTACTGAATTTAACCAAGATGATACAGGCTTAAGCTTTCACCGAGGCAATGTGATGCAGGTTTGCAGTGAAGGGCTGCAATCAGGATGCTGCGCTCAGACGCAGAATGAGGCATTTGGTAGGGTTTGCCAATCCTAGGCTTGGCACAGGACACGTTACCTGCTCTAACATTATTATTCCCCATGTCATTCATCCATGTTCTATTTAACCCCTCGCCTCCTCTCTGCCCAATCAGCAAGTCCACCTGCTGTTGGCAATGGTGGCTTCTAGCACTTCAATGGAAGGAATGAGCAAAATAGCACTTTTCAATTTAGAGAAAGATAATCCAGGACTTCGCTCTGACCAAACATGGGGAGAAACTATTTATTAGAAGAATGTGCTTTGCTAAATTTTTAAGCTGGGTGTACCTAGGCCCTGGCTTCTGTTTGGCTGTGCAGCAGAGTCTGCTCAAAATGGTTCTAATAATTAATGTCTACATTTCTACAACATGCTTTGCACGCTATCAGCTGGCTTTTCAGAACAGCTCAGGGCCAGATTTTCAAATGTTCAACTATGAGCCACTCCCACTGCAATGCTTCTTGGACAGATGTTCAGAGAAGCTTAGCACCCACCATGCCGAACTCTTCTGAAAACCTGGACACTTATTTGCTGCTTCCATAGGTGCCAAACTCCTCTGGGAACAGGCTCAAGGATCATTGCAGCCCTGAAGTGAAGCTGCTTCTGGGATTTCAAGGCAGATACCCAGAGTGTTGGCACGTCATAGTGCACAACAGCACCGGAAATGCCAGACTGAGAATGCAGGAGCTGCTTGTCCAGCCCTGATGAGAAGTTCCCAGTGCTCACATGGATCAGAGAGAACGTCAGTTTTTATGGTCTCATCTTCATAATCCACAAAGTTGCAATAAACTCTATTTATCAACTTTGGAGAACCAAAAGGCTCAGCTGTCTCTGCTGAAGGAGGGATAGGGAATGAATATGTTCAAGTGGCCGTTTTGTGCAAGCCACAGATTCTGAGAACTCTCTGCTCTAGAGATGCTGCTCTACTTAAAAAACACAGCTAAGTACATGAGGTGAGCATGAGCAGCACCATGGCATCATCCACGCTGTTCCAGTTACTTTAATTTTTCTAAAGATTATTACAAAATAGCAGGCTACAACCAACCTCTCCCAGAGGGTGTCTGACTTGGGAGGATTGCCATAAGAACTGTAACAACACCTTGAAATCTCATTTTTCATTTGCTATTTGCTGTGGCTACCAAGAAGGGCACTGTTTCTTAATAACCTCTTACTCAGGGTTTATTGCCTCAAAAAATCTCCACAGTATGGGACAAAAAGAAGAGGAGGCAGCATCTGCAGCTGCTGAAAGGAGTGTGTGGAGGAGATGACAAGAGACAGGCAGAGCTGCACAGGAATTACAACCCACTCTGCTACCCCTGCCCTCCCCCCATGCTCAGGATAGAACTGTGATGGGTTCTTCTCCAGGTGGCAATGAGGCTTAAATCACTTCAACCCTTGACCCTAATTTGCATTATATTTGTAAGTCAGCTGCTTCCCATCATTGTGTGTCTTGCTGAGAGGCCAAAGGAAAGGGTCATGTATACCACTGCTACTTCTGAGGGACTGCGGGCAATGAAATATTGACATGCCGCATCTGTCTCTGGGAGACAATGGCAATACTACGTTGCTGTCCATGTGCAGGCTGCACGGTGCCAGGTTCAGCTATTACTATGTGAATTTTACCAGGCCCCAGAGCAGTGGGCACTTTTCAGACACCGCCCCTGCCTTGATTGCTGCAGCTGCGGTACCTGTGCCCTACCAGACGTTCAGTTTGTAGCGTATCAGGACGACGTGGTTACAGAACTGCAAGGTTGCAGCTGGAGGAAACTGCAAGAGGATTGCCTTGTACTGCATCATCCTGTGGTGCTGTTCAGGCTGCAAACAAAAGCGGGGTTGAGAGTGGATGCTCGTGGCAGACAACATTTGGCTGCCTTGGTTAGAATTGTAATATAGGCTCTTTGTTTGCTCTCCCCTTCTCAAGCAACTTAAAATTATCTCCTTTTAAACATCTGTTTATAACACAGGCGTGGGGACAGACTTTGGCTAGATCTGCAGCTCTGGGTCTCACAGCATTTAAGGGAGAAAACCCCTGTGCAGGAACAAAGCTTAAGGCAGGGCCAGGATGCTGGGGTGAAGCAGCCTGTACGCAGTTGCTGCAGGGCAGCTATTAGTCAACACAACCTCTGGGGCTACACCACCTGCCTCCTAGGCTGGGCTTCCCATGCTGAACAGGGCAAAGTGTGCCCCTGGAATCTAAAATACTTTAGCAGTAAACCTCAAAGTGGCTCCCAATTATTTGGTTATTCCAAATTTGACAGCTGCTTT